GGAGGCAGAGGCGGGCAGATCACTTGAGCCCAGGAGTTGGAGACCAGCCTGGGCAACATGGTGATTACCCATGATGTAGGGGGCCCAGAAAGATGCTTTTCTTTTTGAGACAGAGTCTTGCTCTGTCGCCCAGGCTGTAGTGTAGTGGCGAGATCTTAGCTCACCACAAACTCCGCCTCCTGGGTTCCAGTGATTCTCCTGCCTCAGCCTCCTGAGTAGCTGGGATTACAGGCATGCACCACCATGCCGGGCTTATTTTGTATTCTTAGTAGAGATGGGGTTTCTCCATGTTGGCCAGGCTGGTCTCGAACTCCCAACCTCAGGTGATTCGCCACCTCGGCCTCTCAAAGTGCTGGGATTATAGGCATGAGCCACCGCACCCGGACAATCTCTCTTTTTCTTTTCTTTTTTTTTTTTTTGTTTTTTTGTTTTGTTTTGTTTTTGAGAGGGAGTCTCACTCTATCGTCCAGGCTGGAGTGGAATGATCTCAGCTCACAACAACCTCTGCCTCTCAAGTTCAAGCAATTCTCATGCCTCGGCCTTCCGAGTAGCTGGGATTACAGATGGGCACCACTGTGCCCAGCTAATTTTTGTATTTTTTGTGAAGATGGCATTTCACTATGTTGGCCAAACTGGTCTCGAACTCCTGGCCTCAGGTGATCCGCCCACCTGGCCCTCCCAAAATGCTGGCATTACAGGCGTCAGCCACTGCGCCCAGCCCAGCACCGTTCTTTCTTTCCCTCCCAGAGCTCACAGTGGGGCATGGTAATTATGAATAACATTTCAAGTACAAACTCAGTAAGTGCTGTGAGGGAGAAGTACAAGTTAGGTATGACCACGTAACAGGAATTCCTGATCCGCCCCGGGGAAACTGGAAGGCTTCCTGGAAAAAGAGGAATTCGTGGAATGAATAAAAACTCTTACTCCAGGCAAGAAAAGCGGGCAGAGGAAAGGGAGACCCAGGCAGAGGGAACAGCACGTGTTGTAACCATGGAGTGGGAGGGATGCTCTGGTCTTAGCCTCCACTTAACCTGCTTCCTGCCCCACAGCCTGGAGGGACCTCCCTCCTACAAGCCACCGACCCCAAAAGCGAAGCTGGAGGAGCAGGAGATGGTGAGCACTTTCCCTGCAGCCCAAGCTATCCCCACCTCCACACCCACCCCAGGGCTGGGAGGAGCCTGGCAGGGAGAGCCTGGCTGGGTGGTGGGGGCAGTTTCTGACCTCCCCTCCCCTCTCCTGCTGCAGCCCTCCCAGCTCTTCACTCTGGGGGCCTCGGAGCACAGCCCACTCAAGACCCCCTACTTTGACTCTGGCGTCTCATGCACTGAGCAGGTAGGAGCTCCTGGGAAGACAAAGGCGGGTTGGGGGTCTGGGTTGAAGGGCCAGGAGTCAGGCCTGGTGGAAGAGGTCAAAGACTAAAGGTCATAGCTCAAGGTCAAGGGTGTGTCCCTGGTTGGTGCTTAATGCATTGAGATGTGTTCAGGATTCCCTGTGGGGAGGTCAGGGGTAGGAAAGCACAGGATACAAGGTTAGAATTTAAAGTCGCCTGGGGTCTGGCCATGGTGGTTCACACCTTGTAAACCCAGCACTTTGGAAGGCTGAGGTGGGACGATTACTTGAGGTCAGGAGTTCGAGACCAGCCTGGCCAACATGGTGAAAGCCTGTCTCTACAAAAATTAGCCAGGCATGGTAGCAGGCTCCAGTAATCCCAGCTACTCAGGAGGCTGGAGGCAGGAGAATCGCTTGAACCCAGGAGGCAGAGGTTGCAATGAGCTGACACTGTGCCATTGCGCTCCAGCCTGGGAAACAAGTTTGATCGAAACTCTGTCTCAAAAAAAAAAAAAGAAGAAGAAAGAAAATGGATTATCTACATTTGCTGGGGACTGTGCCTGACGCTGGGACAAGAGAAATCAAGTCACTCCCCTCAGGGGTCTACTGAGGTCAGGACTCAGATACTCAGGTTTAGTTCAAGGCCCAAGGGGTTGTTTCAGGCTCAAGGTTAAGTACTTGAGATCAAGACTGAGGTGAATGGTTCATGGGGAAAGATTTACAGAAATCAAGGGACAAAGATGAGTCCCAGGATCCACAGGGTGAGATGCATAGCTGGGCTTTGGATTAGGGGTGGACCGAATGAATGTCCCAATGCAATATGGCCCCAGGGGATAAGGAGTGAGGTGGCATCTTGTTAGCATGAAGAGAGGGTGGTCAGGATTTTGGTGTCAAGGGCAGATTGGGAATCCATATCATGCATAGGAAGTGATCTTGAGTTCCCATCCCCTCTCCACCTCCAGGAAATGCCTCGATACCATGAGCTGCCCACGTTGGAAGAGCGGTCAGGACCCTTGCACCCTGGAGCCACAAGCCTGGGGTCCCCCATCCTGGTGCCTCCAGGGCCACCTGCTGTGGAAGCCATTTCCCTGGATCTAGAGGATGAGGAGGGGGAGGAAGAGGAAGACTATCTAGACAAGATCAACCCTGTCTATGATGCCCTGTCCTACGACAGCCCCTCTGATTCCTATCAGGACAAAGGCTTTGTCATGTCCCGGGCCATGTATGTGTGACCTGCCATGGGCCTGGCTTCTCAAGTCTCACCTGTTGATCCCTTAGCTCTCTTGCCAAGGATCTAGTGACCTGACCTCTGGCCAGGCCACTGTCAGATAACACATATCCATCTCATTTGTGACTTCTACCTTGGTGGCTCCACTATGAGCCCTAACCCATGATCCCAGAGAATCTCACCATGATAATGGAATCCTGGTAACTTTATCTCATGAGGCAGGAGGTGGGGAAGGTGTTTCTGCGCAACACCTGACCCTAAGGACTCCTCTCTCAGACTGTGACCTTATACCATACCTCTCACTTCCCACCAATGCCTTGACTCCCCCAAATCACAGAGAAGACCCTAGATCCATAATTTATCTTCAGGCAGTAAATTCCCAATAGGAGTGCTGAAGTGTGTTCCAAGATCTCCCTGCTGCTCAGACCTGAGCCCTCCAGGCAGCAGGGCCCCACTTACCCCTCCCCATCCTGTTCTCCAAACGTAGGGGAGAGGGGATTCCCCAGCCCAAGGCAGAGTTTTCCCTTGCAAGCAGAAGCCTTGAGGGTCCAGACCCTTCCCTGAGCCCCTCACCCACCCCAATTCCTGCCTACTGAGCAACAGCCCCAGCCTAGGGCCAGATGGGGTGAGGCCCATGCAGACTGTTGCCTTGACTGCCCAGCCTTGGGAGAAGAATTTACTGTTAACTTGAAGACTACTCAATCATTTTACCCCTGCCCAATGGAATAGGACCTAAACATCCCCCTTCGGGGTAAAGTGGGTCACCTGTATTGGGGGTAGGGATTGATATTGTTTTATACACTACATTTCCTACAAAATAGGAATTTATACTTTGACCAGGTCTTGTGTTTTCTGTGGGATGTGAAGGGGAATGAAGGAGTCTAAGGGCTTGAGAATCATTGAACTAGGGGTCAAGAGAGTTAAAGACAAAAACAAAGGGCCAAAGATACAAAAGAATTGAGAGTCATGAGCAAAAATGTTGAGTAATGGAAGGAGATGGGGAGGGGTCCAGGGCATGGTGTTTAATGAACATGAATAATTGCAACAGCAGTCTGACCAATGGAACAAAGATAAAAATAGGAACGGGCGAGGTGCAGTGGCTCATGCCTGTAATCCCAGCACTTTGGGAGACTGAGGTGGGAAGATCGCTTGAGCCCAGGAGTTAAGAGACCAGTCTGGGAAACACAGTGAGACCCCATCTCTATAAAATTAGCTGGGTGTGGTGGCACGCACCTGCAATCTCAGCCACTCTGGAGGCTGAGGTGGGAGGATCGATTGAGGCCACAAGTTCAAGGACTGCAGTGAGCTATGATGGCGCCACTGCACTCCAGGCTGGGCAACAGAGTCCAGCCCTGTCTCTAAAAACATAAAAATTAAAATAGTAGTACCGCAAGTATGAGAGGGTCAAGTTTAATGAATAAACAGCAAGTAAAAATAGACCAAAGGCAAAATCATGAATAATGTTCTAATACGATCTCAGAATATGGCGGGTAATAAGCCCGAATGAATGAGCCAGAGGCAGCGTGATGAATAATGAAAAAATAGGGACTGGGGGCCGGGCGTAGTGGCTCACACCTGTAATCCCAGCACTTTTGTAGGCTGAGGCGGGTGGATCACCTGAGGTCAGGAGTTCAAGACCAGCCTGGCAATCAAGGTGAAACCCCATCTCTACTAAATACAAAAAATTAGCCGGGCGTGGTAGTGTAGGCCTGTAGTCCCAGCTACTTGGTAGGCTGAGGCAGGAGACTCCCTCGAACCCGGGAGGCGGAGGTTACAGTGAGCCGAGATAATGCCATTGCACTCCAGCCTGGGAAACAAGAGCGAAACTCTGCCTCAAAAAAAAAAAAAAGAAAAAAAAATAGGGACGGGGGGCAAGGGAGGTAATGGACATGAGTTCACGGATCCAAACGTGATGGTTAATTACAGAAGAGCCGGAAGAAGGACGAAAGTGAACGGGCAGGCTAGGGCTAAAAGCAGTCCGGGCAATGAAACTCAAATGAATGGGGAGAAGGCATGATGGGTAATGGGAGAGGAATGAATGAGCCAAAGATAGAAGCCGCAGTGACGCGAGGAACAAGAGGTATGATGGGTAATAAAAGGGGTGGGTCTAAGGCAACTTTTCGGTAAGAGGTGATGAGGGCATTATGGGTAACGAGGAGCAGCGCAGGGTTCGCAGAAGAGATTAGAATTCTCCCGAGGCACTCTGGGAAGGGCCAGCACTTCCGGTTTTAGGTCAGCTACTCGGGACCAGAGGTGGGCTGGGTGCCCCGTTGCCGCGCTGCCTGGTGGGACGCGAGGCCTGACCTTGCTCTCTAGCCGCCTCTGCCGCGCAACCCACCTTTACCTGTCCTTCGACCCTGGCACGTTAGCCAATGAGAGCACCAAGCTAATACGCCATCAAGGTTGGCCCCGTACACGCTGGAGCCAATCAAAATGCTGCAAGGGTCAAAGCCGACCAATTATCTCAGCAACTTCGCCGCGGGGCGGAATCAAAAGGCGGTCTCTTCCAGGCGAGAGGCGGGGCGACGGCTCAGTGGGCGTGGCAAAATGCTCAACACAGACCAATGGTGGGATAGCACTGGAACCCGCGGCGACGCTAGCCAATAGGCGCAGGCGCGGCGAGCCAATGGGAAGGGCGGGAGGTGCGCCGAGACCTGCCTGCGAGTCGGAACCAATACAAAAGGACATTTGAGGAAACGTGGGCGGGACTTTATTCATAAGCCCAATGGAAAGACAGATCCTTGACACTGGTGGGCTGGCCTCAGAGCACACTGAACCAATGGGCTAGGCGGGGCGGGGCGACGGTGGTGGCGGCGGCGGCAGCGTGTTCGGTTGCGCGTAGCGCACGGGGTGGGAGCGGAGCCCAGGCCGGGAGCGGGCGCCGCCGCCAGTGAGAACCGGGACCCGGAACCAGGCGTGGGTTTGCTGGGGCTGAGTCTGGGGCGCGCGGGACCTGACCTTCGCCCTCTGACCTCTCCCCTCGCAGACGACCATGGGGAACGTGTTGGCCGCCAGCTCGCCGCCCGCAGGGCCGCCGCCGCCGCCAGCGCCGGCCCTCGTGGGGCTGCCGCCACCTCCGCCCTCGCCGCCGGGCTTCACGTTGCCGCCGCTGGGAGGCGGCCTGGGCGCCGGCACCAGTACGGGTCGAGGTTCGGAACGGACCCCTGGGACTGCAACCGCCAGCGCCGCAGGGGCCGCTGAGGATGGGGCCTGCGTCTGCCTGCCCAACCCTGGCACATTCGAGGAGTGCCACCGGAAGTGCAAGGGTGAGGGGCGAGGGTCCCCCCCCCCGGGGCTGCGATGGCCCGGATCTCGGGGGAAGGGGGAGGACACTGGGGACTTTGGGATTTGGCGCGCACCGTTGGAATCATTTAACAGCACTAGGAGGTGACGTTGGGATCGGATGTTGGAACGTTGGACTTGGGGCTTAGAATGATGGGATCAAATGGTGGAAACGGGATGGAATGCCACAGCAGTAGAGAAAAGCCTTAGGGACCTCAGGCGCCCCGGAATCAGCCAAGCCAGACTTGTCTTGTGATCGGGAAGGGAACTGAGGCCCAAGGTCACAGTGTCAGCAAGGTGTCAGCAACGTTCTGTGGGGGCGGAACCCAAACCCTCCGGATCCCAGCCTGGATCAATTAGAGTAGTAATAGTGGTAGAGGTTTATGGAACTCCGTTTTGTTGTCATTATATGTTAACTTTAGATCCTTGGGACAGTTCTGTGTGGTGAGGGTTCCATCTTACATATGACTAAAGTTGCTCAGCTAGTAGGTGGTGGCAGTGAGGTTTGGGCAGGTAAAGGCCCTGGCCCTGTCGAACTAGGCTGTACTACCTCTTTACAGTTGGGATCCTTTATGAGATGCTCTGCTGTGGGTCTCTGGAGAGAGCTGGGGGTGGCAGGGAAGGAAGAGATGAGAGTTGGTGTGGGGTCGGGGTGGAGTGTGACGGTGTTTCTCTTCTCCAGAGCTGTTTCCCATTCAGATGGAGGGTGTCAAGCTAACAGTCAACAAAGGGTTGAGTAACCATTTCCAGGTGAGCCTTCCTGGTGTCCTGGTACCCACCAGAGGTCATCCCCACCATCCCCCTGCATCCGCACATGCAGCCTTTACTCCTCGCGCAAGAGCTGGGCTCCTTGGTACTTGAAAAGACTCGGAGATGCAGTGCCAGACTAACTACTCAGTTTAGGGACGTAGAGTCCAGAGGTACTGTCTCCCCATAGCAGCTGGGCTGAGTGAAGGAACAGGTATGTGGGCCTACCAGTAGCACCTCCTTTCTCTGAGTCTCTCATGTAGTCAGGCCATGCCTCCCAGTGTTCATGCCCTGCCCAGCCCTGGGACCTTGTCCCTGCCCCTTTGATGGGCAAGCGCATCTGTCCAGGATCCTCACAATCCTCGCTCTTCTCCCAGGTGAACCACACAGTAGCCCTCAGCACAATCGGGGAGTCCAACTACCACTTCGGGGTCACATATGTGGGGACAAAGCAGCTGAGTCCCACAGAGGTGAGCTTCCTTTTGTCATCCATTCATTGTATCTTTCTAGTAACAAATATGTAGCCAAAATCCAAGCTAAAAAGGCCTCATCAGGAAAAGGTCATAGCTGCAGAGAGCTCGGGGATGGCGACTGCATCTCTCCGGTGCATTGGAACAGGAGTGATGCCATCATTCAGCAAACATCCCCTGAGTCCCTGCTTGTCCCCATGCTGTGCAATGCTGGGGGAGTGAACACAATACCCCTGTCACCAGACAGCTGTGAGCCAGGTAGAAAGGGCTGGGCTGGAGATCATGCAGAACTTTGACAAACTTGGCTTTGGACTTTCTCTAGGGGGTGATGGAGAGTCATATGGCACAGTTTGGTCAAGGGAAAGATGTGGTCCACAGGTTCATGCTGTAGAAATTGTTTTGTTTTGTTTCCTTTCTTTGAGACAGAGTCTTGCTCTATCACCCAGGCTGGAGTGCAGTGGCACGATCTCGGCTCACTGCAACCTCCACCTCCCAGGTTCAACTGATTCTCCTGCCTCAGCCTCCCAAGTAGTTGGAATTACAGGCGCCCGCCAACACGTCCAGCTAATTTTTGTATTTTTAGTGGAGATGGGATTTCACTGTGTTGGCCAGGCTGGTCTCGAACTCCTGACCTCAAGATCTGCCCGCCTCAGCCTCCTACAGTGCTGGGATTACAAGCGTGAGCCATTGCACCCGGCCGGAAATACCTCCTTAGAAGCATCTCTGGGGCTGCCACATGGGGGCTGGTTATTAGGGGAAGGGCCAAAACTGGAGGCCTAGACAGAGTTGGGGGGACTCAGGTCTCTGCTTCTATTGTTTTCCTTCAGTAAATGTGTTTATTCCACAAACCTTCATTGTACAACATATTCTGTGCCCAGCCCTGTGCTGGGCACACAGCAGTGACGAAACAGCCATGGGACTCACCAGTGGGTCAGGGAACAGATGTGTCTCCAGAGAGTAACAAGCTGGGATGGGCAGGGCCGACATGGGGGAACCCAAAAGTAGGGGAGCCTAACTCAGCCTAGGTGGTCAGAGAGGGCTTCATGGAGGAGGCGACCCCCATCCAAGGCTTTCTGACACTAGCCTTCTTGCCCCGGCCCACCTCATGTACTTACACAGTGCGGGGACTCTGACACCTGCCCTTCCCTCTGCCTCATAGGCGTTCCCTGTACTGGTGGGTGACATGGACAACAGCGGCAGCCTCAACGCTCAGGTCATTCACCAGCTGGGCCCCGGCCTCAGGTCCAAGATGGCCATCCAGGTGAGTGGGGTACAGCAGCTGCTGCTCTTCCGACCACCATGGGCAAGGAGCTGCCCTCACACCCGCCTCCTCCCAA